TCTATGCAATTTATTCTTTAAAAAGATTCCATGGTATTAGGTTTTCATTCATATCTTCGTTAAGTATACACGTAGCATAACAACTAGAGCTAAAAGCTAAATCCGGAATCTTTTTGTCTACTTCAATGCTACGCTACAAATTTGTCACGTTATAGAGTTGTGCTCAACCTATTTTAAGGATTAATCTTTTATATACTAATAGTTTATATATCATCATCATCATTAGATGCATGATAAATAATTTAAATTTAAATTTTCTATGTAAAATTATGTATTTAACGATGATAATATACACACCATCATTATATAAAATTAACTCTAAACTAATACCTTCAATTGCATTCCAAGTCTTTTTTTTTTTTTTGTCATCACAAGGAAGTATCCTTTTCGGACTAATCTCCTTGCGCCTGTGCACCCGCCTCTCAAGATACATAAGACCATAAAAGGAATCGAACCGCGATCACACGATGCCAAGACCTAATGAGGCAACCCTATCACCAGCCAAGCCGACCCTGAGGGACAGGGATTGCTACTGCTCTTGCCTGTATTTTTCAGAAACTCCCAAGTCCCTCTTACACATCGATAAGGAAATGCGACAGTTGATATTTTGTCCAAGCACGCACTGGATTTAAGAAGCACAATATCTTCTTGTTTCCACAGCTTTGGACTGTTCATTTCCACCTATTGACTGTATCTCTATGCGCCCATTTGAGTCTGGACAATCCTTCATGATTGTAATGAAATTAATGCCCTCTACAGTTGTTACAAGGAATTTTTGAATCCCATCTAGATTTTTAAAGTTGGCCTTGCAATTAGATTTAGACAAAATTAAGAAGGAAATTAAATAGAAGATTAAAAAAGTTCCATAGTCTTTGCGTTGCACGTGCTTGGTTAAAGGTGCCATATTATAAGGTGTACCACAAAATAATGACGATGACTCTTTTTATATTGGTTCTAATCTCCATAACCTGAATAAGAAAGTTATTGCAGAAAAACTCTAATCAAGCCCTGTTTAAAGTTGCCGTAACTTATAAAGAAACACTTCTGACAAAAGTGCTTTTAAATTATTAAAAATTGAACTTCTTAAGTTATGAAAAATTAGTTACTGAACACCCTAGAAGTACTTTTAGTACTTAAAAGTGCTTTTTTTTTTTTTGTAAATGCACCGCAACTCCAAAGGAGGATCATTCCATTTCAGTATTGAATGCTTCATTTATATAGGAAATTTTTTATAGGCATTTTCATAAATGTCTGGCACCATATAGTTTGAACTTGTCCTGATTTCCTTTGTCTTATTCTAAGTTTTATAATGAAGAATATTGTATATCACCTAGTATATAATTTAAGAATATGTGTTGTCACACTTTTATAGAATCGTTTTCCTTGTACTAGTTGCGAGATTTAGCCAAAATTTTCTTAATCTAACTATTAAATTTATCACATTTGGATATTTCTTACATGGATGCAAAACTAAATCTAAATAGGATATCAGAAGGGAAGAAATGTCCCTTCAAGATTCAATTGGTACTAATTGTATTAATTACGAAACTCAAGAATGATCTTCAAAGAGGTCACAAGTATGCAAAAATGAGACTCAAAGAAAAGAAAATGATAACTCATATATATAGGTATAAGTGTCCAAGAAAAAAGGGATGCAACATAATGGGTGCGCACTTCCTCTCTCTCTTTTGGAATGTTAGTTTATTATTTTTTTTATAATTAATTGTTAATTAAATTGGTTCCTTGACCTTTTTGTTAATTTTGAGTAATAGGTAACTCTTCCTCCCATCATTTAATCACTACTTTAAAAGAAAGATACCTCTATTATCTTTTAAATTCCAAGAGGGAGGAGAGAAGAGGGAAGGGGCAACAATGGAGGTAGGGGAGGAGGGAGGCGGTGGGTGGTGGTGTATGGTGTATGGTGGTTGGTGGTTGGTGGTTGGTGGTAGTAGGTGGAAGGAAAAAATGTAATAGTATTTAGTAATTTTTTTAAAATTTTTATAAATTATATTTGAGATTACATGTGTTTTTAAAGTTGGTACTGTAAACTCTACAGATAAAAACAGTTTTCAGAAAAACTGTCCAATACATACAGACCCATTGTTTTACAATAAAACATTGTGATATGCTAGGTACATTGGTTGTAAGGACATGTAAAAGTCATCCAAACTGATATGCATAATAAAATGTCTGAGGCCTTCATAATATTTACAAAGGAATAAGTGGAAGAAAGGGCAATTAAAGAGAACGCATAAACAATAAAAGGCGAATAGTATACGTCTCTTTAATTGCTCTATTAATTAACCTGCTGTACAATCCAATCAGCTTCTAAACACTCGAATTAATACTTTTAACCATGCAAATCATAGGAATTGATGTCATACACAGTGACTTTGCAATGCTTCTTTACATTTGAAAACTATAATCTTCAAAAGGAAAAATGTACACTCTTAGTATCTTAGTGGACAAAATTAGCAAAAAAACAGTTGGCAATCAACCTAAGAAAGCGCCTCCCGTGGTTAGTTCGGCTGGGACTGGTCGTCTGTAGTTACAGTAAGGTCCCAGATTCGACCCTCACGTGTTACCGTTGTTGTTAGGTGTCTTTGGAGCAAAGCTCTGTCCAACCAGAGGGGATTAGCCTCCAGATCTGAAAAAAAAAAAAAATCAACCTAAGAAAGCAAATCTTATCTCTTCAGATGCAAAAGATTAAGCCAAAAAGCATTAAGGGTGTGTATTATAAAATGGAAATCTAAAATCTAAATTTAACATCTGAATTTGTTAAGTTACCAAATTATTTAATATTAAAATCTTAACATTTGAGAATATTTTGTATTACATGATAAGTAAATAGTTTTTCACTTATTTTTTGGAGTAAATTTTGCCTAGACAATTCAAAGGCACTTAAATAATTAAAATGCTCTATTTTTTGTTATCAAACATATTTGAACATATTAAGGTTTAAATCCATTAAATTTAAGTGTTAAATTAAATTATCAATTTAAGTACTAAATTGAATTATAAATCGAAACCTAAAGTTACTATGTCAAATATTTCCATGGATAGAGCCCTTATACGCATATAGTCATTAGCAAGGTTGCACTAAATCGAGGTTTAGAACGACACCTATTCCTCTAAAGCATAATTTCACATACCTCCCCTGAAGTTTTGACAATTGCAGGAAGCTCCTCTCAAGCTCTAAAAATTACACTTACCTCCCCTATTTTCATTATTTAAGCAACATTCTAGACCCGTAAGGCTAGACTTTTTATCGAAAATCCTATAATGCCCTTAGGTTTTAATTCACAACAAAAATAAAAAGGAGAAAATGGTTCATTGTTTCTATTTCATTCATCCTTACTCGATATCACTATTGTCTATCCATCAATATTCAAATCACCACTAATTAAACACTTGCCTTTGTTCTAATGTCCAACTTTTACCTAAAAATTTTTCATGCAGACCATGGTATCAACTACAAACGCAGTATCATATACCCAAAAACTTGCCTACAATCTCATATCAATATTAGATTTTACCTAATAAACAATAATATTGATCAATATCCCTAAATTAGTAGTTAAGCCACCACTGCTAATATCAACATCCAATATACTCCATTCGCACAAAATTCAAAATCAATCAAATTCTCTCTATAGGAATAACATCATTAATAACTGCAAATCAAAAATAAAAACACAATATAGTTATAAATATACAAGAAACACTTTTTTTTTTCATAACAACTATAACAGTATAATCTTTATTTAGTTCTTATTCCACTTCATAGTCTTCATTTTTTATTTTTTGTCACTACCACTATTTTCGTCTCCATCTAGTTTGATAACGAAGTCATCACTCATCATTTGAAAATTTCATTTTGCTAATGCCTATCAAAAATTGAAAACAAAAATGGGTACAAAAAACTATTTAATAGTAATGAAAAAGAGAGAATTAGGAATAGACACCAAGATAGATAGCCACTAATGGTTGGTATATATGGTGGCTTTGCTAATGGTGACGGTATACATTTGGTCGATAAGAATAAATAAATGAGTTTGAAAGTAAAATAGATGTAGGAGGAAGAGAATAGAGTGTTAATTGGAAAAGATTGTAATTTGAGTTATTGGTTGACAATAGATGAGAAAACTTTAATTTTTGATAGAGTTTTTCAACGAATCGACAATTAATGAAGGACATTGTTATCTTTTTATCATATCAAGAGAGGTCCTCACAATTATGTAAATCTCAAGAGAGTCAAGTGAAGTTAGCGAAAACCTAAAAATTGCACATGAGCATAGGATAGTAAAACAAGATAAAGGCAAAAGCTTGCAACCAAAAAACTTTGATGGACCGTGAGATGAATAATAACAATGGAGAATTATTACCATACCTTTCCTCTGTAACTCTGTAAAGAAATATCTTCTGCTGTCTATTCTCCTTAACATGTATATTGTCGTTAACTAAACCAAACAGGTCCCAATAACAAGACAGAACAATTTTTAGTAATAATTCCATCATATGTAACTTGATGCTTAAGAGTAAGTGAAAGTGTTTCCCATCAATGTGGGCGCAAAACCGAAAGGAGCCACGAAAATTCAAGAACCTTATCCATACTTATGATAGGTATTCTATTAAACTCATATAAAACACAAGTTAATAAAATAAAATTATAAACTTATAAAATTATAAAACATTATAGAATAACTAATAACATTTAAAAAATAATAAAACAAAATTTAAAATAAGGACACGTATTGATGAATATAATTGAAAGACATAAAAGAGGCAATCCCTTTAATTACGAGTTATTTGTTGCAATTTTGTTTGATGAAGCCTCTCTGTAAAGTAATGATGAGAGTATTGCATCTCAATTGCCTTCTCATAAATCATAATGCTGTTTAAGCTCATTGACCTTGTAGAAAGGAAACCCGCAATGCTGGTAATTATACAGGAAATTTCCTCCCAAAGCCACACAACAGCACATTAATTACACAGCAAAGCACATAAATTACAATTTTTTTTACACAAATTACAAATTAATTGTCGTACAAAGCCAAGAAACTTGCAAATTTTTGATGACCTTGTTCTGCAGTACGTAAACTCTTTAACCATATCTAGTTACAGAAGAATCCCACATTAATAAACAACAGAAAAAAAAAGAAAAAAAAAAAAAGCTGAAACTGAAAAAGATCACCAAGCTGGGAAAAAAGGAGCTAGCTAGAAGAAAACACATACTTTGTTTGTTTTTTTTGGTGATATCTTCATCCAACAGTTTTTTCCCCCCTTCATTCAACAGTACTGACAGAAATGTCAAAATTGAAAAATAATAACATAAACACAAAGATTCTGCATTGTCTTTCTATGCAAAGTTGTTGTCCAATGCTTACAGGACATGGGCAGGGGATGCAGACAATTGAGCTGCACTCGGGAACATCAAAATACTGGGGCCACTTCCTTATGGATTACTAATATTCATGAACTTTCTCTTTGCAAATGCCAACCACCATTTATTAGGAGTCCCGTTGTGCCTGTATGCAACACTCAATAGTCTTCCACTTGTTTCCTCGCGAATTTGCCTCAGATAATTTCTGAACAGCTCTGCCTCTTTTTGAGATTGTGGTAGTGTAAATAACCCTGGAAAGGGAAAGCCAGACTCTCCAGGCACAGGAACCTTTTCCAACCCCAGGTTAATAATTGCCTTCGTTCCTTCAGCCAAAGTTCTGCAGCCCTCTAGCTTCTTTAAAGCCACATTTATGTATAATGTCAAATAGATAAGAAGCTTATCAGCTGAACTTTTGATGTCAAAGTTTTTGAAGAAGACATTAGCTCTGAAAAATGATATTGCTTCATCAACAATGTCAGTGGTATCTGATGCTGGAGCAGGTCCCTTTATATGACTTTTTAGAGGAAGAAGAGGGCATCCACAAGCTTTGGCAATCCCTTCATCAACAACAAAGCTGGAGTGATAAACCATTTTTCCATCCACTCGTGGGCTGAGAAATTCGTCTCTTGTAATTCTTTTTTGGCTCCGTCTTGTATTATAGATAAACTACCATTAAACTGGATTCCGGTCTGATGAAGAAGAGGTAAACGGTGGTTGATCAGAAGTCAGCCAGACCAGAAAATATGCAACCCAACACATACAATGAAAGAAAATTCATAGTTAGAAAGTGTAGTAGCAGTAGAACCACCAGAAAAGGTACAAGATCTCTGGATCAGAGGTAGCAGAAAAAACCTTAGCAATACATTTCAAGGAAAAATAAAAATTACAACAGATTTGAAAACATATCTTAAAGTACTAATCGAAATAAGAAAAATAAAAGCCCAACCTAGATCTCACAAGGTACCTCATAAAAACTACACAATCAACAAAAAATACAGGGAGAATTAAGAAACTCATAAGAACCAAATACAAGAGAATACATTACAGAAAAAGTATCAAAGATCTTAAAAGAACTGTTCAAACTAAGATAAATATAAAATTGATTTAGATCTCAAAACATATCTTGTAAGTACCACAAAATCAAAACTACAGGAAGAATTATGAAACTCATAAAAACCAGATTTAGGAGAACACATCCAGTAAATTGTAGTAGTAAAAATACATGAAAAATACATTATTAAAAATACTTTCAAAATCAGAAGAGATCTGAACAACTAGCCGAACTAAGAAAAATATTAACCCAATCTAGATCTATAAAGGAAAAATTAAATTATTCAGAAGGAAAAGCATGTAAAAAGTATTAATACCAGAAGCATTTCTAATTACCCAAATAAATTTCAATGGAAGAGCCATTTTCACATTACTTTTTCCAAAATTCTGAATGAATGTTTCAGAATGTTAAAAACTCAGAAGATAAAAATGTAGAAAAGGAAGTCTTTATAGGAAAATAATATGGATGAATTAGTCTAACCTAGATCAACACAGAGACAATGTCTGATTGACACAATCAACCCAGTCCATGGCCATGTTTTTGGATCATTCAGTATTTGGAGATATCTGGAAGAAGATGTGTATTTGTGTATTTCTCAGTGAAAACTAGAAATTTCCAGGCCCAATTTGATGTGTAAAAAATATTGAAAAATTCCCTATAACTCTCATTTTTAAAATTAATAGAACATGGAAGATCTTAATTGTCGTCATGTTGAGAAACCATGTCCACGTGCAAACTATTATAGCAGTAGGGTAATTAAAGCAATGGCCATGTCCATGTGCAAAACCAGAGAAACTAATGTAACAAGGAAGCTGCAAAATAATTGAAGACTGAGGTATGTTAAAAGTCTTTGTCCCCCCAAGTTAGGATCCGTCCATTGAACAATCCCCTTTCAATGAACCAAGGCATGGAACTCAGCAGTGCTTATCTGTGCCAGGGATTAATCAGTGCATGACCAGGTCCTAAAACCAAAATTTAAGCAGAAACCAAGTTATATCAAACAAATCATGATTTGAGTGCAGATTCTACTTGTTGAGCCCCAAAACATGTGGAAAATTAGAACCAAGACAGTAGAAGCTGGGGAAATACTCTTTAACTGGTCTTTGGTCCAAACTATGATAGTCACTAACATGACAATGCAGTAAAAGTCAAAAACAATCGATGAAATTAATGTTTCTAGGTCTATCAAAGTATTGTTTCCAATGGAATTTAAAGATAGTTCGAGCCATTGCAAGACATTAAAGGATCATTCAGCATACAAACACAAAGGCAAAAGTAAAATCATTTTTGTTTAGGACCAAACAGTAAGCTAAAGAACATCTCTCAAATCATCTAATACTCCATAACAATAGGACATGTAAATTTTCAGAAAACTAAACCAGTGTAGTGGTAAAGCTACCTTTAGAAGCAAATCATCAAATACAAAGCATGCTACTATTGTAAGAGATGATCACACACCTTAAACACTGGATGTTTACTTTGCTGTGCTTCTTCTTGGTTCTTTCAAACTTACAAAACAATCAATAATAACAAAAGCAAACATTTCTGCTAGGACGTCAATTTTGGGAAAAAAAAGGCTAGAAAAACTCAACAATAAATTCATCAAATGGCTGAAAATTGATGCGAAAGTGTGAGCTTTTCTTCGTGTTTTTGGCTAGAAAGGCAAATAGGGGTGGGGAGGGGAGCTGTATAGTGCTTTCCCCTCTTTGATTCTCTCCTTTTTCTGGGAAAAAAAGAATTGCATGGATGGGAGATGAGATAGTGTAGGGAACAAAAGGCACCAAACCACTTGCAAAGATTTTCCACTTTCCAAACAAAGCTGAAAATACCAAAAAAAAAAAAAAAAAACACTAATTGTGTAGCATTCGTGTGTCTGCTATGCGAAGAGGAAAAAAGCAAACAAGTTTAAAATTTTTCTTTACCATAGAGGAATACACCAAAAGGCAAGAAACCTCTCTATTTTTCTTTTCACCTATGAGAAAATGAAATAAGATGTATATCCTATAAAGCCTCTAACCTCAAGCGCCCTTTTCTATTCCTCCGGTTTTTAATACTGATTCTACTTCCCTCTTACTAAGCAGCCATCAAATCGAAGCCGAGAGAGTAAAATTGAGAGTCAGAAATTGTTGACAAAGATCTGAAGGTTGAGAAATAAGGGTATGTACGGGCTTTGTGAATCAGACGAGTGACCATTTTTTGGGCAAAAAATCCCTGAATTTTAGGGTAAAAGTGTACACCTAATCTATGGAAAAATTTGTGGGTTTCATGTCTGCAAGTACAAATAACTGATAAAAGGAAGAAATCTACAGTGAAAATAAGGAAGAAATTGACGTGATTGTCAGGCATAAAAAAGGAAGAGAAAGGGGGAGAAGAAACAGAGAAGCCAGAGAGAGAAGAGACGGGAGAAGGAAGATAACAAGCCAATTCTTCTCTTCAGCTTCAGCACGTGAGATCCTCGTGATACGACCATGCTTGAATCAATCCCATTCAACCACGTCAGCACAGCAACCATTCATCTTAACAAACCCATTCATGCTTTTACTACATAGGTAGATAAAGCCTCGTGCATAATTTGTCTCACTAGGAGGGGGCAAGTGGCCCTAATTTGTCCACTTGCTCTTATTCAACATTGTCAGCATTTGACCATATTTGAGGCCTTTAAGGAGCACAGATGAGTGGATTTTTTCTTATGAAAAAAAATATAGACATTACATGGTACAACTTAATTGGTTGATATCATTTTGAACTAATAACAAATTAAAAGCTACACAAGAAAGCTAATGCTTCAAATAAAATCATAATTCAGAACATAATAAATTAATAGGTGATTTGAAATGATTACCATTTCTTCTGACAAGCATAAATAAGCAATATAACAAACAAAATGTGCTAAATTTAAAGCGAGAAATAATTCATAGGCCTCCGTTGAAGTTTCTTAAAATTTCAAACAGTTCCCCATGTTTTTAAAATTTAGACATTCCTCCCTTTGTAGAGCAAATCATTTGTGGTAATTAACCTTGATAGAATCCATATATTCTCATACATATAGCAAGGTTCCAAGGAGAGGCAAGCAGGACAAACCTAAACTCTCTATTCCTTAATTTCTTATATTTTTCAAATCCATTGTGCACATTGAATTGAAAATTTATAATTTATAATGCATATTTAAATTGTCATTAAGGAAATTATGTAAATAAAATCATGCTAGATAATTTCTAACAATCTGTTAATAAAGTTTTCTTTTTATCAAAACAAAAAAGCTAAAATCTCTACCTCTTCCAACTCCTTATAACTTCAATTCCCTGCTTGCTCCTTACTGGACAAAGCACCATACAATGGTCCTACATTAAATCCTTTGTCCTTGATATTGTAAAATAGTCACTCGTTCACCTCTCCTTCGTTCTATTTCCCTCTTATCTAGTTTTTGAATGAGCTGATTTACTTTGCATTTTTATATTGTGATGGACATAGGAGACAGTAATAATGGATATGGTTAGCCAAATGAAGGTTGGGTAAATGATGCAAATGATTGCTGCTCCAATTGTTTCATCAATTAACTATTATATCCTCTTCCCTTCCTGTTATTAAACAAGTTTTCAATTGTTGGGTTGATGCTACACACTCGTATGAGATAGAGAGACAAGTGCAATTTTTCAAAAGTAAAAGATAAATTTAGTCCAGAATCACAAAAACCTACAGCAAGTAGCTAAATTAGAAACAACCCATAAAACATTAATGCCAGCAAAATCACTAAAACGCTAAAAAAACCCGAGAATCACATCGAAACAGAAGAAAAGGCACAGCCTTTGAACTTACTGTGAGAAAACCAGAAGCCCAAGATCCAAATCGCTTATCCTTGAAGCCACTAGAAAGGAGAAGCAGAGAAAAAGATTGAAATCCACCAGAGGCAACTAGCAAGCTGTAACTTCCCCCAAAGGCCAAAAGGCAACAGCAGAGCACAGCACAGAGAAGAGCAGTGCGTGCTGTGTGTGAGAGAGAAAGTGAGCGAATGAGAGAGAGATATTACACGGTCAAAGAAATTCAGAATTCTCTTGAAGAAAGACATCAAATCACTCTCTTGTACAGAGATTTTGCCAGTCAAAGAAATTCAGAATTCAATATTCAATGCTGCAAAGTTAAAAATCGAAGGCAAAGTAAAAAAAGAGTGAGCTTTTAGTTGTTACCTTCCGGACTGAAGAACCCAGTTGGAGAAAATTAGGCACGGGTAAGTAGAGAGCACTCGAAGCAGTTAGGGTGGAATTGAAGGCGGAGAGCAGAAGCACTTGCGGCTGAGGAAAAATGATTAGTTAGATCGGGAGAGAGGCTGCTTACATAGTTGACCCGTTTTTTATTTTTTACCCTCAAGATCCGCGTGTAGACCCATTTCTCAAGATTTAGTTGTGGAATTGGAATTGGAATTGGAATTCTTTGGTCTAGCCAAAGAAATGGAACTAGGGGTGGCAATTTTCGACACGACCTGAAAACATGACACGAACCTAACACGAAATTAATGGGTTTGGGTTGAGGTTTCGGGAATTCGGGTCAGAATCGGGTTGGACCCGATGAACCCGAAAAGAAAACATGTCGATTTCGGGTCAACCCCGTGGTGACCTGATATGACCCATTTACGAATTAAAAATAATTTAATAAACATAAAAATAATTTTATCTAACTAAACTAAGTTATTCTTTTTTTCAAAGGCATTAATTACTTAATCCTAAATGAATTTATTTAATTTGTGTGAAGTTGAAATTATTATATTTGGACAACTAATATATTATATTATTATTTACTTTTATATTGTTTTAATTTATTTTGTATTTTGTTTGGGATAAAACACTTTTACGGTGTTTAATTTATGTTAGATTTGGTTTGGAATTATTTATTTAAATTTTTATTACTTGATTATGTAATTAGTTTTGTGAGAAATTGATTTTATTAGAAATTACAGTGATAAATTAATAAATTAAAATTAAGTTTCGGGTCATTTCGGGTCGACCCGCCAACCCGTCAACCTGAAATTTTCGGGTTCGGGTCGATATACTTGCCCCGTCACGGGTTGGCGGGTCGGGTTCGGGTCAACAGATTTTCTGACGGGTTGACCCGAACCCGACCCGCCAACCTGATTTGGACCTGAATTGCCACCCCTAATTGGAACCATGGAATTCGATCGATATGGAACTGCAATTCGATTCTAATTCTATAGGAAAGGTAGTACCAAACACACGAATTAGAATTGGGGACCCAATTTCAATTCTAAATCCCAATTTTATGGGGAACCAAACATACCCTTAAATATAATTTGGATTAACTTTTTATATCCTGACAGTGTAGTGATTTTTTACATTAACAGTTTTGAATGTATGTCAAATATGCATGATTTGAATTTTAAATTTGAATTCAATTTATATGCCATTGATCTAAACCTACTTGTGTAAAAAAAATCTTTACACTAACAAGTATATAAAAAAGTTAGAGTAAATCTTATACACACTGACATTATATACACTATCATCATTGGATTCATGACATGTATGCAAAAGTTGAATTTCAAATTCAAATTTTGTATAGTTATATTCGTCCAATGTTATACACTGTGAATATAGAAAAAATAATCAAAAAAGTTATCTATATAGTTTTTGCAAACTATGCGGAAGGATTCAGAAATTATCTCATATTCTATCTCCGTCCTGCCATTCCAATCATGCAACTGAACCTCAAGAATCACATCACCTCAATAATCTAATATTTGGTTGGTTATTTTTCGTGGAAGATAATAAAAATTTTACTGTAAAATATTAAATCTCTTATTTTGATTCAAGACATTAAGCAACATTTCTTCTAATTTTGCATGTACTCATATTGCACGTGGGCATGTAGCGACGAAATTCCCCAAGTTCCAGAAAAACGCAGATGCGCTCTTATAATACGTCTAAAAACACTCAAGTCTCAACGGTCATCCTTTTATTTTTTTATTTTTTTATTTTTTTTGTCGACGGAGTGGGTATCCGGGTCAAGTCCGTAAAGGCGGCCCGACTAATCCCACTCCGGCCCGGCCCAGCGTCCCAACCAGACCTAGCACGTTAATTGCACGGAGAAGTCAATGTTGCTGCGGAAATTCGACCCCAGGACCTGACGGTCCCGAGGAAGAGGCGCCAACCACCAGGCACCAACCCATTCACGTGGGGGCTCAACGGTCATCCTTTTATGATGCATGCAATATTGCAATCCTTCATGGTGTGTCATTTTTAGTCAATAAATAAGTCATAAGGATGAGACCATACCAAAGAGGTTGGTCAACTCATATGGTGGAAAGGTTGTCTTCATCAATGACGGAGCCAAGGGGGGCAGAGGGGGGCCATGGCCCCCCCTAAGTTTTGAGAATTTTAATTCATAATATGTAAATATGTGTGTAAAATAAAATTGGCCCCCCCTAAATTTTTTCAATTTTAGTTTATATTATGAGAGTTGATATATATATATATATATATATATATATATATATATATATATGAATTAGTCATCTTTGAATGGAATTTCAATTTTGACCCCCCAAAAAAAAAAATCCTGGCTCCGTCACTGGTCTTCATTTGAGGAAGACAAAGAAAGTCTCATTAAGTTTGATCAAGAAAATTCTCCAACTCATAAAAAAAAAAAAAATTGTGCTGCAAAGAGAAAGTCTAATCAATCACTTCCAATTAAATATCTAGTGCTTAATTTATTTTTATATAGGACTCGTTGTACGGTATAGTTTTAACGTGTGCGGATTTGATTTGTCCAAGTGTGTTCTCCGTCACCTACTTTAGTTCCAACTTCCAACTACAATGAAAGATCAAGTGGAAGAGAACAAACGGCCCATAATTAACACCACTTTTCTGCTTAATAATGTCGGCATTGACCACAATTGAGGCCTTTAAATTTAAGGAGCATAGCTGCTATTTTTTTCTAAAAAAAAAAAGAGAGACGATAACAAATAGTGTTTAATCATTGAACAGAGATTACATAATTGGTTGAAGATTATTTGAACCATTAACAAAAGCTACAAAAGAAAGCTAATGCTTCAATTAAAATAATTTATTGATTAGAACATAATAAAGTACGCGATTAATACTATTAGCTTTCCTCCTAACAAACATTTAAAAGAAATACAATAAACAAAATCTCCTAAATCTAAAAAGAGAAGAATGAGAATTGTTTCAAAAACATAATTCTCGATAGACCAAATTATCCGGATAGCCACTAAACTTTTGGAATCGTCGAGTTTTGACCATTAAACTATTAAAAGTCTAGTTTTGGCCACCGAACTATTTGAAATTTAGATTTCGGATCATTCCATCAAATTTTGTCTTGTCAAATTGTGCAAGCACTCAAATCTGTCATGTTTAACAATAAAATCTAATGAAATTGCCGGAAATCTAAACTTTAAATATTTTAATGGTCAAAATCAGACTTTTAATAGTTCAATGGTTAAAACTCAATGATTCCAAAAGTTTGATGGCCATCTAGATAATTTGCTCTTCTCTATATGATTTACGGCAAATGATGTTTGAACTCCAAAATAATCCTTTGGCACCTTATCTTCCTTCACGTAATAGAATATCAAAGTGGAGTACAATGATTATTTTTAGAATGCAAATATCAAGGATAGTAATGGGTAGGATAAAATCCGATACCCGCAAGTACTCGATCCAATGATTAATCCAATTAGATGGCCGATAAATAATCCATTAGGACATTATATTGATGGGGGGTAATCGATGAATAATCCGATAGGGTTTGGTAAGAGAGCCTTAAAAATCTCAAACCTTATATATATATATATATATATATAGCATAGGCATTTTGCCCTTCATAAAATGTTGAATTCCTCTCATGTATAACTCTACCAAAGTTTAAAATTTAACATAATGTCTTGATTTAACATTATGTATGTATTAATTTTAGTTTGATAATAGTTAATTATCTTTTTCTGAATTATTCAAATTAGCAAGTAGAGGGTACCCGATGAATAATCTAAATCCAAAAGTGAGAGAGTTTGGTAATGAAAGTTAAAATCTGTAGGTTTACTCGATAGGGTTTAATAAAAAAAATTGGATATGCGGGTTATAGTTTGGTACGAGGGATTTTTGAGAATATCCGATTTGCTGCAATCCCTAGCAAATATCACTAGTCTAATTTACACACTATTTTGTAAGATAATTTCAGAAACCTCCCTTAATGGATTTAACGGGCAGTACCCTACACCTTTTGAAATTTGCACATACCTCCCTTTTGTAGAGTAAAATACACATAATAACCTTAACAGAAATCCTTATACTCAAATAAATGATGAAAGGTTTCAAAGAGAGAGACATGGAAGAAACCTAACATCCCTACCTTTCCCACTCCTTATGGCCTCCCCTTGCCCCCTCTCCCCACTTACTTTTGCTTTCCATTCTACAAAACACCATACAGTGGTCATAAATTAAATCTTTATCTCCTTTATTTTGTAAACTAATCTCATGCTCTCATCTTTTTCTTTTTAGATTTTCAATGGGCTAGAATTGCTCTGCATTATTAGGTTATGAAGGACATGGAAGTAGCAACGCTGAATGTGATTAGCCAAGTGGAGGGCTTGGGGGTCATTAGGAAGGCGAGCCGTGAAGTCATGAATAAAGGGACAATTATTTCATCAATTAACTATTCTATGCCCTTTCATTTTCTATTAGTATTGCATAATTTTCCAATTCTTGAATTATTATGCCCATTCGTATTTGAATAGTATTGCATAGTCTTCCAATTCTTGGGTTGATGTGTTACACAAACCCTTGCAATAAGGAAAATCAGTGCAATTTTCCTAAGGTTAAGGATGCTATTGTACAATATTCTACATGAAAGGTAGCTATGATGATCTACATTTTATCCATCACCCTTCCGATCTCACCTAGGATCACCAATACTAAGTCTGTCTCTTACTGTTTATGAAGAGAGTGAATCTTTCATGAAACTAACTGTATTCTCGGTTATCCCAGATCTTCTCTCCTTCCCTCGTTCCTAACCTTCCAGTTAGGAGTGGCAATTTCTGACTTGATCTTAAAATACGATACGAATTAATATAAAATTAATGGGTTTAAGTTGAGGTTGAGCAGGTTCGGATCAAATCTGAAAAACAGGTCGAATTCAGATCACCCACGGATTGATCCGATAACCTATTTATGAATTAAAAATAATTTAATAAATATAAAAAATAATTTATCTAACTAAACAACGTTATTCTTTTTTTTTCCAAAGGCATTAACCACTTAATTCTAAATAAATTTGTTTAACTTGTGTGAAGTTGGAATTGTTATGTTTGGACAAATGATGTATTATATTATTTTCACC